AAATATAAACACACACAAATATAAACACACACACACACACATAAACACACACACACAAATATAAACACACACAAATATAAACACACACACACACATACACACACACACAAATATAAACACACACAAATATAAACACACACACACACACACACACACACACAAATATAAACACACTCTCTCTCTCTCTCTCTGTCTCTCATAAAGCAGAAACTGGCAGTGATAGATCCAACATGGCCGCCACAGACACCTGCAGGGAGCCAACATGGTGTGTCAGTCCCATTCAGCACTTTTAGTTTCAGCCCAGAATGAGCCGAACCGGTCCCAGACGACTACAGGCCGAACACAGAGACGCAGAACTGGTCCAGAAACGACTCAGAACTTTACTGAATGACTTGAACTTGTCCAGAATGACTAGAACCTGAGCGTTGGGCTGGAAACGACTCGTATCGGTCACAGCGAGTCTCTGAGGAGCAGCCTGAGCTCGTTAGGTTATTACATAACGCTGTAATGAGATTAAAAGTCGACTGATTCCATTCATTCACAGACAGACGGTTCTGTTTCTGTTTGTGTGTCTGCAGAGAAGAAGCTGCTTCAGGTCTGTGAGGAGGAACTCTGGTTCTGATTAAAAACACAGTCATCAGTGAAACAGCTTGAAAACAGTCATCCAAAGAAAGTTTTTAACAACTGTGGGGGAAAAAACAGCTGAAAATAGTAAAATACTTTTCATTGTGATATGTTTGTGAATGAAGCCCAACGCTCACGTTGTAGAAGAACCAATCACCACCTGGAGGAGGAGGAGTCTGACGTGGACTTTATCAGCTGTTGCTTATTTTTATGTGTTTTTACAGTCAACATGTAAACTCACAGTTTTGTGGTTTCACCTGTTTTTATTTGTAATCAAACATCAACATGTAAAACAGTCCAGATGTTCCACAAAAGCTCCACATTTCAGACTCATAGAGAAGACATGGACCCGGTTCTGGACCCGGTTCTGGACCTACCGGCTATAAACAGTGTTGTTAACTTACAGGACAGAAGTAGGTGTTCTGGGCGATGTGCTGAGCGACCCGAGGCTCGGAGGCCGACAGGGACATGATGAGCAGCAGAGAGTCTCGGGCCTGTTGACCCACAGAACCCTGTCTGACAGGAACCGCACACACCATGTTAACAGTAGTAATAATGATAATAACAATAATAATAATAATACAGTCTGCTCGTGACCCGTTCCAGTGAAACGCAGCGTGTTCTGTTGTTCGTCGGCACAGTTTTTCTCTTTTAAATCTTTTTAACCTCGTTGTCCATTAATTTGACTTTTTAAACAGAACCGACTCCATTTTCAGTTATTTCTCATTGCAGCATTCATTTAGAATAATTCCCAAAGAAATGACACAAAACTACACATCTGCTCCGAACCCGGTCCAGTGGGTCAGAGAACGATGAATTAGGTTATGTTCAGAGAACCAGTTTAGATCCAGAACTCCACCTGGACCAGATGTTCTGCTCAATCAGTTATTGAAGTTCAACAAGAGCGCCTTTTATGACCGAGTACTTCAATATTAAAGTGTTCTGTGTTTGGTTCTGTGTTATGGAGACCTGTGGTCCACAACCAGATTATTGATCTGCTGTCCAACATCTGGATCAGTGACATGATGAGAACCCACAGAGAACTTTAATCGTTTCAGGTGAGTCAGAGCAGAAACCGTTGATTGGACCTCCTACCGGACGGCGCTTCGTTCCTACCTGTGAGTGAACGGGATGAGCAGCGAGAAGAGCAGGAAGTTGGCGGCTCCTTGGTCCTCGCTGGTGTGGAAGAACAGCTCGAGCACCGAAGGATCTTTGACCAGAGCGGCACACAGCTGGTTCAGCAGCAGGACGAGCTCCGCCTCCACCACGCCGCCGCCATCTGCAGGAGACCACAGGTAACTAACCAGCTAACTAGTTA